CGATTATCTGTTTGTCTCAATTTCAGTGACGCTGAGACTAATCAATGGGATTGGGTGGGGATGGCCTGATCCTTCTTGCATGCAGTTCCCCAGCAACCTTTCATCCCATAGTTTCATCTTCCACTGCTGACCACTGAGTCACTGGATTCATCATTGCATTCATCTGCAAAATGGTCATTTTCCTAATTATATCATCCCTACTACACAGAAGAATTTTGAGATTCTTCTATGTAGAAGTTTCTCTCATCCAGTAGGGCTATACGGTTACCATGAACAACAGTCTATATTGGAAAAGCAGGAAATTTGCTTAATTCTTTACTTTTCTCCTTTTAGTTAGCAATTTTCAGAACAACAGGTTGGTTGCACATACATGTCTTGACAAAATCAAAAGGTCCAGCCCTGGCCAGTCGTGATGGCTCAAACTCCTGGCCCTAAGCAATCCTCCTGCCTCTGCCTCCCAAAGTGCTAGAATCACAGACGTGAGCCACCATGCCTGGCTGTCTGTATTTTATTGATCAGAACTATATGTTTTAACTGCAAATGATCCTTAGTTACAGGAAGAGATTTCTAGAACAAATGAAACTAAGGTAGATAAAAAAAAAAGAAAAATTAGCCAACTCAATTCAGCCAGCTTGGCATGTTACAGAAACACTGGAATTAACACAATCACAAAACCACCAGTGAAGACCGGGCACGGTGGCTCACATCTACAATCTCAGCACTTTGGGAGGCCAAGGCAGGAGGACTGGTTAAGGCCAGGAGTTTGAGAGCAGCTTAAGAAACACTGTGAGACCCATCTCTACAAAAAATTTTTTAAAAATTAGCTGGGTGTGGTGGCACACGCCTGCAGTCCTGATTACTCAGGAGGTTGAGGCCAGAAGACTGTCTGGGCCCAGAAGTTGAAGATTGCACCAAGATATGGCTGGGCCACTATACTCCAGCCTGGGTGACAGAGTGGGATCCTGTTTCTAAGAAAACAAAAAAACTACCAGCAGAGACACTCCTGGACTCAAAAAGAAAAGATACAAGCTTGGTACAAAGAAAAATTTCAATATGGGGAACCATATTTTTCCTGAATTCACATTTTAGCTGGACTGACAGTTTGAGACATATACAAAGGAATTCCATGAAGCACCTGTTGAGGATATTTCTTATTTTAGACAAAATTCTAGTTCACATTCAATATAAACTATAAATTTTCTATAAATCTAGAGGGGGAAAATCCTACCTAAACTGTCAATTGGCTTACCCATGGTTCCTTGCCACTACTGCAAGTGTATTCAAGGGACATCCTCCCTATCCACTTTCTTCCCCACGTCCCATTCTCAGTGCAAGGCAAACAGTAATTACTGGCAGAAGAGGTTCTCTTAGGCTTTTATGATGAAAAGATCCCGGCAGTTCTGTCATCAGGCGGGTAGTATTGCTGCTGCCTTAGAACACCCAAGAGAAACGATAACAGGAAGGCGAAAGGAAGTACCTACCTCAAGAACTAGATAAAAAAGAGCAGGGACAGATATTCTGGGAGTGGCAACTGTTTCCACCTAGAAGTGTTCCAATCAGAGGAATAACTTGCTGCATATTTCTCTCTGATGTCGGCTTCATACATGATTGTCCTTTGCACTTCAGAGAAGGGCTAATAGTACCTTTCAAGCCATGATGGAAACAATAATAGTGATGATGATGACAACTACCTGAGGCACAGTGCTTCACACACACTAATCGCTTCTGATCTTCATAAGAACTCTGGAAGGTGGGTGAGAAGTCCATTTTATAGATGGGCAAACTGAGGCTCAGAAATGTTAAAAGATTTGCTCAAGGCCATACAGGCAGTAAGTAGAGTCACCTTCTAAACCTAGATCTTCTGACTCTATGCCCCATAATTTACTTCCTGGGCTGACACAACAGACAAACAGTGGTGCAGGCACTAGTCACCTAGTGAAACACCATAGTTACAACTCACTACTCTAACAGTAGACTGTGAGGGTGATGCACCCAGGCTAAAAGTCATTGATGAGTATAGACTGGACGGGACTCATGCCTGCCCCGGAGCAGAGTGGCAGAGCACACAGTTAGCAACCACAGTTCCCGGGCATCAGTATCTGTCAATTAATAAGCAAATACCAAACCTGGCTGTAAATCAGAATCACCTGGGGAGCAATAGAAGAAGGCACTGGCCACCTTCAAGGGTGGGAAGGGGAATCGTACTTTGTCCTAGGTTTGCAATGGTCAAGCATTTGAATGATCTGAATTCAGGGCTTTCTTCACCCACAGTCCTGGGCTGAGCTCCTGAGCAGAGGCCTTACCTAGCCAGTCAAGTTCAGCAATGTAAGGCCACAGAGTCTGTTCCCCAGGGATGAATGTTAAAGAGCCTCTCAGGGCCTTACTTATAAAACCCGAAAAAATGCCAACAGGAAAAAAATCCAATTGCCTACCCATTTCATGTGAGTTGGTGAACATTCTGAGAAGAGAAACCCTTACTGGCCTATGGCTAAATCCTCTGGCAGCACGTATCTGGGGAAAAAGTAAAACGTTAAGTCTGCGGGCCGGCAATTGGCAATCACATTTTGAAATTCATTTGTAAGTCAGCTGTTTGAAACTTAGAATAGACACAATAGATTCTAAAACCCACCAAGAGCACTTAGTTTCCAGACTAGTCTTGGAAAATTTGTTTAGGCAATTATGTACAAAAAACATGGTAATATTCCAGCTATCCTAATCAGCATTTCAACAATGACAGCCAAGTCAAAATTCCAAACTACAACAATAAGTATTTCCCCTTCTCAGCTTAAGTGGTCCATGCTGGTCCCAGAAAATCAGAAGAAACAAAGTCCTGCTATACCCCAGTAGCTTACTAAGACCCTACTCCTTCTCAGGGTTGGTTATCTTCTCGAATTGTCCTGACCTGAGGCACAAAGGGCACTTGCCCTCCAGGGTTGGAAAGCAAAGGGCTATGCAGGTCTAGCTCTGTCTCCTCCAATACCTGGAAGCATGGCCTGCAGAAGAGCTCAAAAATGTTTGGGTTAAAATAAAAGCCTTTGACCTTATTTTTTCAAACCACTCTTGCCTGAAATCCTAAATAAAGCTAAAAGTGCTTATGTCATCCTGGGATAGCTGTAACAGTCTGGGTCTAACATTGTTCAACACTTTCCAAAAGAGGGCAAAGTGTCCCTAGCTGTTCTCTTGCCACATCTCTATCAGCACTGACCAGGCACACTGGTGGCTGAACAATGTGGTTCTTTATGTAAAATAAACAGAAGCCAACGCTGTACTTTTGTGTGTGCACAAATATGTATCTGTGCATGTACAGACAGTAGTCTGGAATGGCATACACTAACCAGTTAGCAATGGTCACTTCTGGAGAAAGGAATGGGATGGGAGAGGAAACAAATTTTATGTTTCATTGCACGAATTTCTTTTGAGAAGTACAGGCCTGCTTTACCTATACAACTTTAAAAATACTTTAAACTATGACAAGCCATTCTATAAACACTTTCAAAATGATAATTTCTCTGGATATAAAATTACCCAAGAAGGTTACTACATGTTTACACCAACAGGTGCAGCAAACTACAGTCCATGGGCCAAATCCAGTTCATGGAATAGACAGGTCCACAAGGTAAAATTGATTTTTACTTTTTATTTTTTTTTTTAATTGAGGCAGGGTCTCACTGTTTCCGAGGCTGGTCTCAAACTCCTGGCCTCAATAAATCCTCCTGCTTTGGCCTCCAAAAGTGCTAGGATTACAGGCAAAGCCACCACGCCCAGCTTTTTTTTTTTTTTTAAAGAGACAGGTTTCCTTAAATTGCCCAGGCTGGCCTTGAACTACTGGGATCAAGTGATCCTCCCACCTCAGCAGCTTCTCCAGTAGCTGGGCCTACAGGTGCACACCACCATGCCTAACTTTACTTTTATAATTTTAAAGCGTTGTTAAAAAAAAAAAAGTGTCAGAGACCACATGTGGCCCATGAAGCCTAAAATTTCCTATCTGCCCTTTACAAAAAAAAGTTTGATAATCCCTGATTTACACCAATGATGCTATCTCTTAAAAAATAATTCTAAGTTTCTCTTACAAATCTCTTCAAAATCACTTTCAAACACAATAAAAATTAGTCACATTACTAGCTTTTTTTTTTAACCCAAAGCAGTGTTAGCTCATTCAGCCACCTCAATTATCAGATTTGACTTAAAAGCCTGGTGATTTCAGCCCAAGGATAAGGAAAGGGACGTTCTCCCTCCTAGCACTTCATATTCAAGAACTTTACCTAGGCATACAAGGACACACAGAAAAATCAATCTCAGATTAACTCTCTGAACAACTAAAAATAATTTTTTAAATCTATTGAACTAATATAAGAGATCAAAGTTTAATAAAACATTTCCTAAACAAAGTCAAGGAAAAAGGTCATCTTTATTCTGAATGAAACTTGTATTCTAACCTTACATTTTAATCTAGAGCTCTAAAAGACAAGAATATTTCATTTCAAGTATCAATGACCTCGAGATAGACTGTGAGTTCTGCAATGGAAAAAAATAAAGGACCCCAAGAACTGTGTTGACTAAGACTCAAATGCATCTGAATGTGAACAGCTGTGAGTTTAGAACTGAAAAAACAATTTATCCTATAAACACATGTGGAACTTTCTACAAACCAATCCTACATAATGAAAATCTGCAAATAAAGCTTTTAGTCATATTTAGAATTCCCAATACCCACTAAGAACTTTTAACAATGTGTTATTTGGAAATCAGGATCCAATTTGAAAATTTAAAGGACAAAAACATAAAATATAGGCTCATTTGTTTAATAATCTTTTAACCTACTCAATTTGAAATGAAAGCAACTCAGAACCTGGCACACACAGATTTTTTACAAGGAGAGAGTGCCAACAGAGAGAGGACAAAGGCTACCATTACAACGATTTGGAAAAAACTAAGACAATATCTTCACTTACCTCTGGAATATATTTTCCTACCTAAGTATGACACAGAAGATACTCTACCTCAATGTCCTGCAGACTGAATTCCTTCTGATCGGTAAAGTTTGCAGCCCCAGCACTGAGTTCCATCAGCATTTTGGCGATCTCAGGCTTTATGGCCGAGGTCAGCCGACTGGCTGCTTCCATGACGTGCTCCTGCACGTCTTTGAGCTGCATGGCCGCCTTTGAGTAGTGAGAGTTCCTGAACACAGTGCTGAAAAGATCTGTGAGGAAAGTACTGGCACGGCAGAAGACGTTGAGGGCATCCAGGTACTTAGAGATGCCCTGCTGGATGTCGGCGATGGGAGTGGAGTGGGGCATGGCGTGGTGGCAGCTGCCTGCAGCGGTCAGACTGCTCAGGGGGGCAGTGGTGGCTGTAGATGCCAGGGGAGCACTCAGTGCTCGGCCCAGCTCGGGCATCGGGTACTGCTGGTGCTGCTGCACCTTCTGCTTGGACCCGCCAAGCAAGAAGCGCCGCTTGTAGTCCATTTTACTGTCCTGGGCACTGCAGCAATACATACGGGAGAGAGACTGTCCCAGTGACCCTGAGTAGGTCAGGGTTCTGATTCTTTTTTTCCAAAGTGGTAGCTAGGTATAAAAATAGCGGAGTTCTGCAAATCTAAGTTTTAAAAAAGGCATTTCCATGAGGCAGGTGACGTGATCCAATGTAGATGTGAGAAGGACAACAGGTTTATATAATTAATATTTTCAGTGTAGGCAGGACCTCTGACAAAAAATAAAAGTGTGTCCAAAACACTACATAAGAACTGTTTAGCATTCCACTCTCTTAATAAAAAGATATGCTTGCTGAGAAAAATGCTTACCTATAATTGCTTGCAAGAATATTTCCATATTTGTATTTACAATGGCAGAAAAATAACTTAACTTTTAAAAATGTAATATAATGTAATACAATGTATCTTCAACATACCAAAAAGTTAGAACCCAAAAACCCACAAGCTGATCAACAGCAATTTAAAAAGCAGTAGAGAATTACTTTACACAAAGTCCTTAGGAAGGAAGATCAAACCTCTGCAGAATTTTGACAGAGCCTGCCTGTCAAATCCATTTACCTGTAAAGCTTTGTCTCTGCAATGCAAAAAATTTCCAAATTTCCTCTAATGTTTTCTGAAAACAAACTTTTTTAAAAAATGACATTTGTTATTATAAGTCTTCTCCTTTCCTTTTGTTTGCTGAGGTAGCGGTTTCCTTGTAACATTAATAAGAGGTGCTTCCAGACTGGGTTGGCCCTCAATTGTGAAGTCTGAAGCAAGAATGCACAGATGTATTTGTAAGGCCTCTAAGTCATTTCCTGTAAGGGGAAAAATAAAATAAAGTTAGGAAGGCTATAAGACAATGAGTAATTCTGGAACATTAACTTCTGCAATGCTATTATTTACACAGGTGGGCTACAAATGAATAAGAAATCATATGATGGGCTGGGCGCGGTGGCTCACGCCTGTAATCCTAGCACTCTGGGAGGCCAAGACGGGTGGATAGTTTGAGCTCAGGAGTTCGAGACCAGCCTGAGCAAGAGCAAGACCCCATCTCTACTGAAAAAATAGAAAGAAATTAGCTGGACAACTAAAAATATATAGAAAAATTAGCCGGGCATGGTGACGCATGTCTGTAGTCCCAGATACTCGGGAGGCTGAGGCAGACAGATCGCTTGAGCTCAGGAGTTTGAGGTTGCTGTGAGCTGACACCATGGCACTCTAGCCAGGGTAACAGAGTGACACTCTGTCTCAAAAAAAAAAAAAAAAAAAAGAAATCATATGATAACGTTACAGAAGCAGAGCTGAACTATGAAATGACTATTAGAAAATTCCTGAAGCTACAGTATAAAAATAATGCAAGAAAAGTATGATTCCACACTGAATGTGGCCTCGATCTGTGTTCAGCACTCCCTTAAAGCCCCTCGAAGACGTCGCAGTCTGCAAGAGGACAGGATGAGGACTCACATTACAGTGGGGGCTTGCTGACAAGTCTGGCTTGAAACTTCATGGGGGATCAGCAAAGGGAGAGATGAGCAAAGAGCAAGAGAAATCACGAAGTTGTTACGAAAAAAAAAACTATTCTGAGGTAGGCCTGGATCGTAGGATAGGTTTTCGACAAGTGCAAAAGGGACAGACAGGCGGGGCTCACCAAGTGCAAGGACTACCACAGCAAAGGCTCTAAAGCAGGACTGCACAAGGTCTGCTCAGGATACCTGGCTGGGCTAAAGTACAGGCTACAGAAAGAGCCTGAAGAGGTGGGTGACTGGCAGGTACAGAGAGGATTCTTCTAATCCTCACCCGGGTACCAGTTTCCTCTCTGGACGTTCAGAAGGAAAGCCAGTTTTCACACCCTTTGTAGCTTCTGCAGAAACCTTGACTCTGAGTAGCTCAAATGGTAATAGCTGGACATCGCTGGTTGCAGTTTCTCATGCCTACAAGTGTAATTGTCTGATTCTTCTCATAGAACTAAAAGCAGGGATGATGCTTGCTTGAAAATCTGTTCTCCCAAACATAATAATAGTTCAAATTTTACTGGGAGTTATAGTTAGCATGTATTAAATTTCAACCTATATAATGTCTGTATAGAGTTTGGTCTACTTATTGACACCCAGGTTTTCTTTCTTCTTTCCATTTTCCTTTTTTGTAGGTATAAAAAAGTATAAATCATACTTTGTTACTTATCATAGCCAACTACCATAATGCCTTCGTATTTCTATGACTATGTAAGGAACATAGGAAGTTAGGTAGATCATAAGAGCAAGAGATAAGAATACTGTGATACAAATACATACACGTAAATCCAACTAAACAGCCACTATTTATGACTCTATGTTCAAGAGAATCTTGACTCTTTAAAAAATCTGATAAACTTTTCTGAAAATAAGTATCAATATGTTCCCAAATATTCTTTTTTAAAATTCGTGACAGGCCGGGGGCAGTAGCTCACGTCTGTAATCCCAGCACTTTGGGGGGCCAAATGGGGAGGATTGCTTGAGGTCAGGAGTTTGAGACCAGCCTGGGCAACGAAGCAAGATACCATCTCTACAAAAAATAAAAAATTAGCTGGGTGTGGTGGCACGTGCCTATAGTCCCAGCTACTTGGGAGGCTGAGGCAGGAGGATCACTTGAGCCCAGGAGTTCAAGGCTACAGTGCACTACAACTGCACCTATAAATAACCACTGCACTCTGGCCTAGGCCGTTAGCAAGACCCTGGCTCTAAAAAAATTTTAAAAATTAAAAAAATTATTTCCTGAAAGTCATTTACAGATTCAACATGATCTCTATCAAAGTTTGAACTACCTATTTTACAGAAATGGGCAAGCTGATCCTAAAATTCATATGGAAGCTGGGTATAGTAGCATGCACTTGCCATCCCAGCTATTTAGGAGGCTGAGGCAGGAGCATCACTTGAGCCCAGGAATTTGAGACTAGCCTAGGTAACATACTGAGACCCTGTCTCTTAAATAAAAAATAAAAATAAACTAAAAACTAAAATTCATATGGAAATGCAAGGGATCCAGATGGCTAAAACAAATATTGAAAAAAAAAAATGGAGAACACTTCCTGATTTGAAAATCTACTATAAAGCTATAGTAATCAAAGTAGTGAAGTACTGGTACAAGAAAATATACATAAATTAGTGGAATAGAACTGGAAGTCTAGAAATAAGCCTATACATCTGTGGTCGGTTGATTTTAGACAAAGGTGCTAAAACTACTTAATAGGCGGCCGGGCGCGGTGGCTCATGCCTGTAATCCTAGCTCTCTGGGAGGCCGAGGCAGGCGGATTGTTTGAGCTTAGGAGTTTGAGACCAGCCTGAGTAAGAGCGAGACCCCGTCTCTACTAAAAATAGAAAGAAATTAATCAGACAACTAAAAATACATAGAAAAAATTAGCCAGGCATGGTGGCGCATGCCTGTAGTCCCAACTACTCGGGAGGCTGAGGCAGGAGGATGGCTTGAACCCAGGAGTTTGAGGTTGCTGTGAGCTAGGATGACCCCACGGCACTCTAGCCCGGGCAACACAGTGAGACTCTGTCTCAAAAAAAAAAACAAAAACTACTTAATAGGGAAAGGATAGTCTTTTCAATATATGGTGCTAGGAAAACTAAATATCCACGTGTAAAAGATTGAATCTGGGACCCCTACCTCACATCATGCACAAAAATTAAATCAAAATAAATCAGAGACCTAAATATAAAAGCTAAAATTATAAAACTCTTAGAAGAAAACTTAAATGTAAATATTTGTGATCTTGAATTAGACAATGGCTGCTTAGACACGATACCTAAAGCAGAAGCAACAAAAAGAAACAACAGGCTAGGTGTGGTGGCTAATGCCTGTAATCCCAGCACTTTGGAAGGCCAAGCGGGGAAGATCACTTGAGGCTGGGAGTTTGAGAACAGCCTGGGCAATATAGCAAGATCCATCTCTACAAAAAACTAAAGAATTAGCTGGGTGTGGTGGCACCCACCTGTAGTCCTAGCTACTCCAGAGGCTGAGGTGGGAGGATTGCTTAAGCCCGGGAATTTGAGGTTACGGTGAGCTATGATGGCACCACTGCACTCCAGCCTGAGTGACAGAGCAAGACCCTGTCTCCAAAAAAATAAAAAGAAAAAAAAAAAGAAAAAAACAGATAAATTGGACTTCATCAAAATGAAAACATCTGTGCATCAAAGGTCACTATCAAGAAGGTGAAGAAACAACACATAAAACTGACAAAAATATTTGAAAATCATATACCTGTTAAGTGTCTAGTATCCAAAATATATAACGAACTGTTAAAACTCAACAAGATGAATAGCTTGATTAAAAGATGGGCAAAGGATCTGAACAGACATTTCCCCCAAGATACACAAGTGGCCAAAAGCAAATGGAAAGATGCTCCACAACACTATTCATTAGGAAAATGCAAATCAAAACAATAACCCCTTTCGCACACAGTTGAATGGCTGTGACAAAAGCAAATAAAAAGCAAAGCAGAAAATAAGTCTCGGCAAGAATATGGGGAAATCAGAACCTTCATACATTGCTAGTGGGAATGTGAAATGACGAAGCCCCCGTGAAAAGTGGTATGTCCGTTTCTCAAAATGTTAAGCACAGAATTGCCATATGACCAAGCAATTTTACTGAAGAAAATTGAAAACACACATTCATATAAAAACCTAGATGCAAATGTTCCTAACAACATTAGTTATAATAGCCAAAAAATAGAGACAACCTAAATGTCTATCAACTGATAAATGAATCGACAAAAAGTGGTATGCCAAACAATGAAATATTACTGAGCCATAAGAAGAAATGAAGTACTTATAAATGTTTCGACATGGATAAACCTTGAAAACTTTTGAAAGAAGCCAGACACGAGAGGTCACACACTAAGGCAGATGGGGTGGCACATGCCTGTAGTCCCAGCTACTCAGGAGGCTGAGGTGGGCAGATCGCTTGAGCCCACGAGTTCAGGGCTGTAGTGCGCTATGATTGTGCCTATGAATAGCCACTGCACATAGCCTGGGCAACATAGCCAGAGCTCATCTCTAAAAAAGGGGAAAAAAGGTCATATAGTATATGGTTCCATTGATATGAAATGTCCAGATAAGGCAAATCCATAGAGACATAAAGAAAGTAAATTAGTGGTTGTCAGGAGGTGGGGGTAGGAAAAAAATGGGAAGCAACTGCTAATGAATATAGGGTTTCTTTTGGTGACTAAAATGTTCTAGAATACGATAGTAGTTGACAGTCCTACAACTTTGTTAATATACTAAAACCTATTGAATTCACTTTATGTACTTATTTATTTATTTTTTGAGAGACAAGGTCTTGCTCTGTCACCAAGGCTGGAGTGCAGCAGCACGATCATAGCTCACTGCAACCTCGAACTCTTGAGCTAAAGTGATCCTCCTGCCTCAGCCTCCTGAGTAGCTGGGACTTCAGGCATGCACCACCAGGCTAGCTAATTTGTTTTTATTTTCTGTAGAGATAAGGTCTCACTACATTGCTCAGGCTGGTCTCGAACTCCTGGCCTGAAATGATCCTCCTGCCTCGGCCTCTCAAACTGTGCTCAGTCTAGACTAAGGCTTTAAATCAGCTATTTTAAATATGTTCAAAGAACTAAAAGAAACTGTGTCTAAAGAATATAAGGAAAGTATAAGAACAATGTTTCAGCAAATACAGAATATTAATAAAAGCAATTATTTTTTAAAAAGAACCAAATAGAAATTCTGGAATTGAAAAATATAACTGACATAAAAAAAAATACACTAAGTGGCTCAACAGTAGTTTTGAATAGGAATCAGTGAACTTCAAGATAGGCCAACTGAGATTATCCAGTCTGAGGGACAGAAGAAAAGGAATGACTAAAAAGGAACAGCCCCTCAGAGACCTGTAGAAACCATCAGGCACACCGGCATACGTATAGTGGGATTCTGAGAGGAAGAGGAGAGAAATACACAAATAATATTTGAAGAAATAATGGGTTAAAAATGCCCCAAATTTAGGCCGGGCGCAGTGGCTCACACCTGTAATCCTAGCACTCTGGGAGGCTGAGGTGGGCGGATTGTTTGAGCTCAGGAGTTCGAGACCAGCCTGAGCAAGAGCGAGACCCCGTCTCTACCAATGATAGAAAGAAATTAATTGGACAGCTAAAAATATATAGAAAAAATTAGCCGGGCATGGTGGCGCATGCCTGTAGTCCCAGCTACTTGGGAGGCTGAGGCAGGAGGATCGCTTGAGCCCAGGAGTCTGAGGCTGCTGTGAGCTAGGCTGACGCCACGAAACTCACTCTAGCCCGGGCAACAGAGTGAGACTGCCTCAAAAAAAAAAAAAAAAAAAAAAAAAAAAATGCCCCAAATTTGATGAAAAACATGAATCTACACATCCAAGAAGCTAAATGAATTCCAAGTAGGACAAACTCAAAGAGACCCAAACTTAAGACATTATAATAAAATTGTCTAAAGCCAAAGATGAGAATCTTCACAGCAGCAAGAGAGAAGCAACTCATCACATACGGTTGATTCTTGTTATTCACAGAAATTATATAAAAAGTTGCCACAAACACTGAATTAGGGAACACCGAACCACTGTTCCTAGAAGAAATACATGAGTCGGGTTCCTACGAGCCTCTGGTCATAACATTTTCATACAACAATCAATACGTAAACTTGTTTTATGCGTGTTCTGTTTAAAGATACCTTATCTAATATATACTGTTGATTCATTAATATCGAACTCACAGCCAACAGCACTGTAACTCATACCTAAATGAGGCTTATCTAACACACATTTTCTCCATAAGGCACATCACAGCATTCTTGAGCTTAGGAACACTAGACAGCATTTCAGCATTATGTTTAGGGGCCATTTTAAATAATGAAATTGCCAAAAAGCAGAAAAATGCAAAAAACGTGACATTAAATAGACGATGAAGAGGACGCTGTTTATAGTCTGAGAGCTAAAACAGGAAGGCAGAGTATGCCTTACTTGACTTGAGCTGGGGATGTGCGTGTTGGGCGACTCAAATTTTTCACACTCTATACATGTTCTGAAAATGATTACAAAAGCTCTCTAAGTACTGATCTTGGGTTACAAATAAAGTTTACCAAGTAGGCAAATTTGTAAATACAGAATCCACAAAATAATGAGGATCAACTATATACCTAACACTAACACCACTTGAAATACTTGTATTCCCAACATAATGGGATACTCCTCTTCTTAAAAGTCTAAAATACAAAAATATCAACCTATGAAACAAATAATCAGAGGGTACCTGAACATCTTAAAAGATACCCAGAAGATCCTTTAGGTAGTGAATCTTGAGTATATTTAGTATAATACTGTAAGAATTCCACTTCGCACAGCCTTTCAGGATTTCATTACAATTTTTAGTTTGTTGGTTTGAGATAGTCTTGCTCTGTTGCCCCAGCTTGCGTGCAACGGCAGCATCATAGCTCATGACAACCTCAAACTCCTGGGCTCAAGCGATCCTCCTGCCTCAGCCTCCCGAGTAGCTGGGACCAAGGTGTGCGCCACCATGCCCGGCTAACATACTGTTGGAAGTCAAGTGATGGGTACATGAGGTTCATCACATCATTTGCTCTAATAGCATATATCATTGAACACTTCTGAAATAAAATGTTTAAAATGCACACAAACATGAACATACACATGCACACAAGCACCTGGATTTTATTTTTATTTTTTAAAAATTAATTTCTTCCAAATGCTGTCTCAATGTTTTTCAAATGCGTTCCCCCCATATTAATCTGCCTGAAAGGCTAAAATATGTTCAATCCATTTAAGGACATTTCTTTTCCATATTTTCTTTAAAAGAATTTTCACTGGGAAAACATTCACCATTTATGAATCCACTATTCATGCTGCATGGAAATAAATACGAATTGTGAAAGACCTCAGAAGTTAGTGTAGCCAAGACTTGTTAAGATTTAAGTAACATATTCAAAAGTTTTAATGCTACTTAAAATTCTCAAATACATAGCAAAAAAAGCATTTTAGTAGGTTAAGTCACATCTTTTCAACACAATAATTTGCAAAGGTTCTCAATAAACTAAAATGGAACTCGGACATGATTACATCATTTAAAACACTCATTTCTGCAATCAGAGTCATCAGCAATTTCTGCTTCAAACAATAAAGAACATGCCTAAAACCAGATCAAGATTCAGTGTAAGAGGGTTTTCTTATACCCATAATTGGTAAGATATGAAAAGTGGTCAGTCACCCTGGGAAAATCTCCTGAAGCACTTCCCTTTAGAGAGGCAGATACCGAAGTGAATACAAGACGGGTCCCGGGAGCCTGCCTAACTTGGGAGATCCTGGCTCTGTCACTTACCAGCTATGTGACCTTGAGCAAGTTCCTTAACCTCTCTCTGCCTCAGTTTCATTGTCTGTAAAATAGTGATAATAAAAGTAATTATTTCCCATATAGTCTAGCAGTTAGGAAAATAGAAAACTTAAAAAAAGGGAAACAAAACAAAAACAAAACAAAAAAACCAGTAATTACTGTTATTGAGTTAAATGAGTTCATACACATAAAGCATTTAGAATAATATCTGGCATTTATTAAGCACTAAATGCTTGATGATGTTTTTATTATCATTCCCACAAAACAAGCAAAAGTAAACAGGCCTTGTTATTTCTGTTTGTCTGGAAAAAAGTTAGAGAAAAAAGAAAGGTCTTGTAAAGTTACCCAACCCTTGAACCCAACAGAAATCTACCCATCCCAGGGCAGGAAGCATCACACGCTTCAGTGATGTCTAACTTCTACTTCAAATGGACTAAGTAAGCTACCAGGAGAAATTTAATCCCTGAATTAATTAAAATGTTCCTATTTGACTACAGACTGATAGCTATGATCTGTGAATACAGACAACAATTGTAAATCCACTCAGTCACTAAGCCAACAGAGAAAAGGGAGTGGCAAGCAGTCCTGTGTCAGCAATGGTATGGCATAAAGGAGCTTCCTTTCAAGATGACAGGCTAAATATAGGCATATGCACCCACCTCCCCATCCTCCCCAAATCCCAGTGACATAACAGTACATTCATTCATTCATGAGGGAATCACAGCATAACAGTAAGGAGAAGGTCTGAAGGCCACAGTCTATTTAAATGCTGGCCATTTTCTAGACGACGGCGAGAAAGCAGAGGAAACTGTACTACAAGGCAGATCACAGCGAAGCTGGCCACCTCCTAGGACGTGCAGGGCCAAAGGAGGGCAGAGAGGCAGAGCCCTTTTTCCTGCAGGCGCTGGAGAAATGCCCAGCTTTGAGTCAGCAGGTACAAAAATCAGGAGTGGGAAACAGACTAATCAACCTGATCTCATCTGTACTTTCCACTCCCGATCACTCAATCAGCCAACTCCCAGCAAGAGGACTGCTGGAACAACAGGGGGACCTCCTGCCAATCACCAATATAAAAAACCCAGTTCCTTCACTGATAAAGATACCAGATAGTGAAGGAAAACTAAGAGCACAATAAAGGACAATTAAGATGAAAAGCTGACCAAACCAAGGAAGAAACATGTATTTTAGGTCCCAGAAAAACATCTGAAAGGAATTCTGACTGGTAGCCTCAGAGGGATTTTAAAAGATAGTGCATCTTTATATTCTTTTTTTTTTTTTTGAAACAGGGTCTTGTTCTGTCTCCTGGGCTGGAGTGCAGTGGCGTCATCATAGCTCACTGCAACCTCAAACTCCTGGGCTCAAGCGATCCTCCTGCCTCAGCCTTCCGAGTAGCTGGGATTACAGGTGCGCACAACCATGCCTGGCAAAGACGGTGCATCCTTAAAACAAAAGCAAGTAAATCACAAAGGAAGCCGAAATCAAGAAAATTCTTGAAAGTAAGAAATATGATTACCAAGATGAAAAACAAAGGAAGAAATAATACAGGAATGGAATAAGGTATAGGGGATAAAAACACACACACACTTTTATTTTTTAAAATAAGCAATGGAAGAATAAACCAAAAACCAATAAAAATGTTTACCTATTAGGTATAGAGAACACCAGCAAGGAAGAAAGCCAGACTTCTTTCAATCTATCTGGCTTTATAGTTTTATCTTTAAACCATGTAAATATTTTATATAATTAAAAAACAAATATAAATAAAAAAGAAAAATATCCCTAAAAATTAAAAAAAAGACAGATGAACCTAAATTATTTATCAAATTAGTGTCATAACCACACAGAGAAGAATTATTTCAAGTTTAAAGCCCTGTTTTGACTCTACGTCTCTGGTGTTATTGTCAGCAAATGAGAAGAGGCAAATATAAAATCAAAGATACAAAAATTTTTTAATCCTTTATTTGAATTGGAACTATCAGTCTGAAATCATAGTTTATCCTTTTCTTTCTAAAAAGTGTGTGTTCCCCACCTCTACTGAAAAAAAACCTAGAAGAATTCACATCCCAGTTGCACTGATTGACCCTAATAACAGTCAGAGCTCTTTAAGGAAATGGCTGATTCTAGATCTGGAGTCAGAAACCAAAAAGATAAGTCCCAGACTTCTTGTTGGGCCAGAAAACAGGGAACTAATGTTGAAAGGACCCAGAGTCAACCTGAAGAATCATAAGCTCTATTAATGGCCAATAATGGGACAATTTAAGTATCAAAAAGAATAATCATTTGGGAGTGAAAATCATTAAATACACAAAAATTAATGAGTTCAGACTGGGCAATTATTTCTTGGATATAACACCAACAGCATGGGCAACAAAAGAAAAAAACAAATAAATTTGGCTTCTTCAAAATTAAAACTTTTGTACATCAAAGGACATTATGAACAGAGCAAAAAGGCAATGCACAGGAGAAAATATTTGTAGATTATATATCTGAAAAGTAATTAATATCCGAATATATAAAGAACTCCCACAACTCAAAAAAAAAAAAAACAATTTATTTTTAATCATCCAGCCTAAAATGTCACAAACAATCCAATTTTTAAAATGGGCAAAGGACCTGAATAGATTTTTATCCCAAGATATATACAAATGGCCAGTAAGCCCATGAAAAGATGCTCAACAAAACTAACCATTAGGGAAATGCAAATAAAAACCACAATGAGATATCACTTCATAACCATTAGGATGGGTATGATTTAAAAAAAAAAAAAAAAAAAAAACAGAAAATGAGTGTTGGCAAGGATGTGGAGAAACTGGAACTCTGCATGTTGCTGGTAGGAATATAGCCACTATGGAAAACAGTATGGTGGCTCCTTAAAAAATTAAACATATGGCCAGGCATAGTGGCTCAAGTCTGTAATCTCAGCACTTTGGGAAGCCAAGGGGGGAAGATCACTTGAGGCCAGGAGTTCGAGACCAGCCTGGGTAACATTGCAAGACCCCATCTCCACAAAAAGTACAAAATAGCTGGGGTGGGGGGGGAATGGCATGTGCCAGTAGTCCTAGCTACTCAGGAGGCTGAGCCAGGAGGATCACTTGAGCCCAGGAGTTGGAGGCTGCAATGAGCTATGATTACACTACTGCACTCCAGCCTAGATGACAGAGCAAGACCCTGTCTCAAAAAAACAAACAAAAAAGGGTAATTATATGGTATGGAATTATTTCAATAAAACTGTTACACAAAATATAAAGATGAATCACTCCATAAACAAGTCCCTCTTCAGAGAAAAAAAAAAAAACAGAAAATGTTCTATCCTCTCCAATCCACAAAAATGTAAACCCAAATATTTACCCTTGATAATGTGGAGACACTACAGGAAATTCTTTAGGCAGATTAGTGAAGTTATTGTCTATGAAGTTCAAAGCCCAACCATTTCCATGTTTTGAGTCAGTTCAGACTGACACAAACCATATTTAGAAATGCACTCCAGAAAAATGCTTTGAAGAATTTTATTCTCAACATCCATAAATTTAAAATATCTACCCAGGCAAGAGAAAATGCCTGAAAGATTCAGTCCTCTGTTCTTCCTTCCTTAGAACTCTACCTTTTTGGCTCCCTTTATCTGTTACCACATTAAAAAATGAAGCAACTCTACAGGTCGCTAATATGAAAAGATGCTAGTCCTCCTAGCTCTCCTCTTCCTCCTGACCATTCTTACTTGCCCCTTTGAGCCACTCCTCCTCTGATAGACCCTAAGTGCTGTGGTTCCTCAGAGTTCTGTGCTGTGCCCTCTCTGTTTCCAAGAGCAACATACTTCGCTGGGAGGATTCCCAAACCCATCTCTCTAGCTAGACCAGATCTTTGTCCTGTGCTCCAGAACCCAACAACTGCCTTACTGGACAGGGCCCACATCAAACATCCAAAGCCAAGTCTCAAGTCTTTCAGTGTTCCTTTCCTGTCTAGGTGAAAAGTGTCACCATCTGCCTATGGGAACAATGCAGGAACCTAAGAGTTATCCTTTACTGCTCACTCTCCTTCACATCCAACCAATCATTAAGTCTTGTCCTTCCTGCCTTCTTAGTATCTCTCAAGTCCTTTTCCTTCTACCTTCGCTGCCATACCAAAGCCCAGACCATCTTTACCTCTTGCCTGAATTACAGAGGCTCCTCCTGAGTGATCTTCCTCCTGAGTGCTACCCTCTGGTTGCTGTGTGACCATTCTAGAGCCACTGTGATCGTGCCACTCTCCTGTTTAAAATCCACTATGGTGCTCCACTACCCTTCCCAACTTTCTTACACCACCCCCCGCCACCCACTTCTTACATGTGCCATGTTCCCTCTTACCACCTGTCTACATGTTCCGTTTCCTCTGTCTAGAAAGTTCTCTTGGCTTACTCTCACTCTCCTTGGATGTCTGAGATGTCACTTACTCTGAGAAGCCATTTTGACACAGACTTTGACAAAGACCTAGGAGTCCTTCCATGTGCTACCGCAACACCGTTTTAAGCCCCATCTTTTTTAGAGGCAGGCTCTCCCTCTGTCACCCAGGCTGGAGAGATCATAGCTCACTGCAGCCTTGAACTCCTGTCTAGCCCCATCCTAACACTGGCTTTGCCGTACTGTGACATGCTGCATCACGACTGCCAGGCTCCTCTGTGCTTCCCTCCTACCGCCAAGGCCCAGGATCACCGAGCTCATGCAAGATAATCAAGAGTGCTAAGCACACTGCAAACATTCAACAGATATTTCTTGAATGGCTAGTTCATCCTCAGTATTTATTTAGTGGTATCTCTGCACGGCATAAGCAGTCACCCTTACAATCCACAAAGGTAGTAATTAAGTGCTAGAAATAAGGCTCTGCTTAAAAAAATAAATAAATGAGATACGGAAGATATGCCACATCCACACAAGTACTCCCCGACAAAACAGGCCACTCACCAAGTGCCTAGGACATGTCAAGCATTAGACTTGGAGCTTTAGATACATGATCTCATTTAAGCCTCACTAGAACCCTAAAACA